GAACAACCTAAAAAGTAGGAATATATTCAACTATACAAAGTAGGAATTTTAGCTAACTACAACAACATATAAAGTATAAATATAGTCAACTATACAACTGTTAGGGATTCGCTTCTTCAAATAAATATTTTTCAGAAATTTTTTAAAGTTTTTTTAGTGATTTTTACTTATTAATGGTAAATATTTTGACTGATTTTTACATATTTTATTTCCCAATTTCATAGGGATATTTTTGTCCAATATTTTATTCTCTCTCCTAGAGACCTAAATCTCATTATGAATAAGTTAGTTACCTAATTATTCAGTCTAAAACCAATATTAAGCTAATTAATCATTTTAAAATATACAATTTTTTAATATTTAAACATGTATGACAAAACATATAATCTATAATTAAACGTAAAAAATGATATGTATTGTGCACAAAGTTGAATATTTTTGATCAAGCCATGAGTTTTAATTTTTTATGTGTAAATTGATTAAAATATATGCAAATGTTATTTATTTTAATATCTTTTTAAGTGTAAGTTGATCTTTATTATTCGTGTAAATTATAGAGTATACGATAAATCAAATAAATTTTATATTTATATGAACTTGTCAGACATAACAAATGAAACACAAAATATATGTTTTTCAGTAATAAAACAAATAAATATTTGTAAATTTGATTAAACATGTATAATAGACTACATCATAATAAAAATATATGTATAATACATAAGAACATATATACACAATATATAATATGTTTATAAATATAACTATAAAAATATTGTCAATATATCAGAAAAATATATTGCTATAGATGATATGATAAATCATAAGTATTACATTTAGTTGGGTTTAAATTTGGAAAACATGTATTAATAGGGGTTTTTATCAAATTAATGAAAATATGTAGAGAATTTGATCATAACATATATATTTAATTGAAATGTTTTGATTGATTAAATTTAATGATATGTCTCTTGAAATCCTCATTGAGTGACACATAGGATTGTTCCACTTAGTATCTCTTCAATTAATATATAGAGGATTTATTTTGGTTTTTTTCGTTTATATTACTTGGTTAAATCGCAGTTTTCAATTTTAGATTTTAGCGTTTTTTTCA